GTCATTTTAAAAAATGAGTTAAACCTATATCTTTTAATTCGGAGGCATTTGAACAAAGTGAGGAGTGAGAAAAACAAAATGTAGACAACAATTAAAGTCATATTTGCATTTACAGACATGGGTATTATGTGTGTTTGTATGCTGTCCCACTAGAGAGAACCTAGACAAATGAGCAAGGATTTATAGTACTTTGTTAACAAGATTTACTTTGAGATGGGTGAACTTGTGTTTCATGTCAAGGAGGAAATTCAGGGAAAGGGAGCCAAAGGGAGGGAAAAAAAGGATAAGGAAAAAATATCTGCCCTTGGAGGAAGATAGCATGCATAGGATAATATCGATGCATTTGTGCAAAGTTATCCCTAGGTGGGAAAGAAAGGCACTACTTTCAGAAAGGGGAATGCTAGAGGAAGCCCCTACTCACAGCCTAGGTGTGAATCAGCCACCACTTCTACTCTAGGACTGAGGCATAATGTCTGTCTAACAGTGAACTCATCCTAAGTATGGTTTGTCCTAAGGCCTAAGTACCTCTGGTGTACCACAAACCTTAAGCATGAAGGAGAGCAAACAAGCTGGCCTCACCAAGGCATCAGGGCACGGAGCTGGGCCTTGAAAGCGAGAGTGAGGCTGTAGGGGTTACTCTAGTGAGCTGGACGGTCTTTGTGGTACTTCAGGCTGAGTGATTCAGCTTGACTTATAAAACCTTTGCCTGGCATATTCTTCTCCCTCGAACCTGTCTTTTCAGTCCCAAGTCATTCTTTGGCTTCTCCATGGAGAAGAAAGAAGGAATATGGAAGAAGGAAAAGCTGGAGGGAATGCCCTCCAGCCTGGCTGCCCTAGCTGTCTAAGTGGGAGCCTTCCTGCTTCTCTCACCCAGCGCCTAGTACCTTTCTCGCCCTAATACTACTGCCCGTTGCTTGCCTTTAACCCTTTCCCTCTCCCTCTCACATCCCTCTCCCCTCATCCTTCTCTCAGCCCAGCTCAGTGAGCTCCTGGAAACAGAAGTTAGATGTGGAGGCTGCCCTTCCACAAAAAAAGATACGCGATGCCGCCTCTCTAAATCAGGGGGGCGCAGTGCTCACAGAACCGCTGAGCTTTCTCGGCAGCGCTTACAGACTTTAGGGGTGCCTGGGAGACCTGAGCACTGCGAGGTGTGGCTCCTATAAACGCTGAACTCTCAGTCTCCAACAAAACCAGACTGAACCAGCAGATTCTCAACCCCGGTGAGGGGATCCGACTTCAGTCTGGCTTGAAGTCAGGGGAGTACGTTTAAAGCGCTTCCTGTGAGATACTCAGCGTGCGAGTCAGACTCGAGCGTAAAACGCGCTCTCTCGGGAGGGCGCGGGCGTGGGCCAACTCCAGCTGACGCTCCGGTGGGTGCTAACCACCCGGGTCGCATAGCTCCGAGTGCCGCTGCGGAGGGAAGGGGTCAGTGCGGGGAGGTAGACGGGCCTTCGGAAGACTCCAGTGGTTCGAGTCCCGAGTCTCGGCATTCCCTCTGGAACGCGTTCTCAGCCCATCTCAGCTTCTCCAAAACCGGTCGCGTTCACGGGCGAGCCTTTCCTCACTTCCTCTCAGTGCCCGGCCCCAGCTTGCTCTTTCGAAAATTCTTTGAACTGGGAGCCAAAGTCTCAAGTCCATCAGGGGTGGAGAGGCGCGGGAGTGGGGAGAGAGGGCTGGCCGACCTGCGCTCCAGTCCCTCTGCAAACCTGGAGGGAGATATGAATGGAGCGCTCCGCAAAGTCACCTCCGGCCCAGCTCCGGCCCCTGGGCACTGGAGGCGCGGAGGAGGAGACCACCAGCTCCCCAACGCAGCGAGGGTGAGTCCGCAGTGTTTGTTGGCCAAGAGCCCAGAACTGCTCGTCTGGGCGACACGCTGGCTTGTGCGTGGCTCCTTCGCTCACCCAGCTTCTCAGGGAGCCCAGCCCGGTCCCCAGTGCCTGCAGTCAGACTCCTCTGGAGGACTCGGATGGAGGGTTCAGCTAAGCCTTCCCCTAGAGCGAGGACCTAGGTCACCAGGGTAGCTGGGGAAGGTGCTCCCAGAGGTGTCAGCCCGCCAAGAAAACTAGCGAAGTATTAGGGGTGTGGGGTCCTGAATACGACCTGAGGAAAGTTGCTCTGCGGACACTTGAAACCGGCAATCGTCGCTCCTCTCTTCTCACAGCAGCCAGAGCGAGCCGGCGTCGCACTCCGGCTGCAGCGTGGCCGGGAGGGCTGGCACCTCGCCCTCACACTTGCCCGCTCCCACTGTCACTGACAGGCGCTTCTGCAGGGCTGTCTCAAGTTTCCAGGCTACCTCCCTGGAAGTCGACGGTCCTCGCTCCAGCTGTTTCCCAAATTCTTCACCTCTCCCCGACCCTCCACCGCCCAGAATTCCTGGTGCAACTGTGGTTTCAGCTCTGGACCCCATCTGGCTCAGTTACTCCCAGGCCATCTACTGCCCCCTCGCGGAGTGCTGGGGTGTCCAGCTTGCAGACGCCCACAGCAGGTAGCAAGCAGCAAAAGGCGTGGTGGCTGCGGCGGTGAAGGGAGAGAGTTGCCAACAGCTGGCTCAGCTGCTGCGCAAGGGGACTGGCGAGTACGCAGCCCAGGTACTGCCCCTTCCCAGTGACGTCTCTGCAGCGGGTTATAAAAGCCTCGTGCGCATCCTGCAGAGATTGTGCTAACTCCTGAGCTGAGCAGCACGCAAGCCAAGAGGCGTCTGCGAGGCTGCAAGCGGCGCGGCGGCAGCGGCTTCTGCGAAAGCGAAGAAAAAAATCTCCAGCTGAACACGAGGCCCCAGATCCCGGCCACAGAATCAGAACTTTCAAAGGTAGCGCTGTGACGGGCCCTCCTTGCCCGCCTAAGTTCTCATGCAGCACAGGGATTTGCCTTTCCCGCTGCAAGAAGAAGATCTAGCGGCTGTAAACAGAAGCAGGTGCAGAAAGGCGGGTTCTCTTGCTTCCTAGAACAGGGGACCAGGGGAACTACTTTCCGCCTTTCAGTTTAACGCAGACGACACGCAGTCTCCAGATTCTGAACTCAGACGTTTCCTGAAACTGAAAAGTGGAGGAATTCAGAGCCACGAAGGTCAGGCAGACAGAGCATCTAGAAGCATTTAACCTCTAAGCGCCAAGTCAGCTTGCAAGGAGAATTCTGCCCAGAAAGAGATTTCTTCCTTCCTGTCTGGCTTAAGCAGGATCCTGAGCCTCAAGTGCCTGCCACAGGAGGCTGCAAAGGGGGTGGTGGGTGCAGAAGGGAGGGCTTTGCCACAAACCTGTGAAATGGATAATGTCCTCCCTGTGGACTCAGATCTCTTCCCAAATATCTCCACCAACACCTCAGAACCCAACCAGTTCGTGCAGCCAGCCTGGCAAATTGTCCTTTGGGCAGCTGCCTACACAGTCATTGTGGTGACCTCCGTGGTGGGAAACGTGGTGGTGATGTGGATCATCTTGGCCCACAAGAGAATGAGGACAGTGACCAACTATTTTCTGGTGAACCTGGCCTTCGCAGAGGCCTCCATGGCTGCCTTCAATACAGTAGTGAACTTCACCTACGCTGTCCACAACGAGTGGTACTATGGCCTGTTCTACTGCAAGTTCCACAACTTCTTCCCCATCGCAGCGGTCTTTGCCAGTATCTACTCCATGACAGCAGTGGCCTTCGATAGGTGAGCTTGCCCTTTCTGGAAGTGAGAAGTGTCCATAGAGGATAATGGCATTACTATGGAGGTTTGGGGCTGCATAATGCATGGTACAAGGGGAAGATGGAAATACGATAGCCTGGGGCTTTCACTGGCTGCCAACTGGTCCACAACTTGATGGGGACCTTGATCTTACCTGTTTCATGTTTCGTGTTTTTCTCTCTCTGTTTCATCCATCACCACTCTCCCTTTCAGCACGCAATCCCATTTTCTTCATTTAACTTTCTTTGTTCATTCATTCATCTCCCTGACCCTATCCTTTCAACTCCTGTTTTGCTCTTATCCATATATTCCTTCTCTCTTTTCCCTCAAAGCCTAAAAGTGATGCCCAGGACTTAACCAAGGGCCTAGTCCCTGACTTGGTCTTTGTAAATTCCTCCAGGCCTGCTGCTCTGTAGGTCAGCTTCATGTTACTTTGTGTTTTAAATACACATAGGCAAAATTTCTCGTTTTTCATTTCTTCCTAAAGATTTATGGACTTTGAGTTCTCCTTTCAACTCACCAATGTTATTTAAATGTGAAAAGCATTTTGACAGTTCATAAAATACTCCAGGTTCTAATTTACATCCTCTGTGTTTCAAGGAGTTCTTCTTAAAGAACTCCACAGACAAGGACCCAAGAGGCTTACCCAGGAGGTTTCCTAAGTTTCTCTTGCTGTGGAAGGTCAAGGATTTTAGCCTGTTTGTGTCCACAGAGAAATGTTCTTGGCAAAAACAATTGAGAGCTCTTGTTTCCTACAATCAACAAGTGAGGGTTTCAGAAGCTGGTTGGATATGCAAAGGTTAGCATTTTAAACACAGAGGCTAGAGATCTGGAATGAGGGAATCTTCAAGTGGCATGATGAAAAATTGAATAGTAGAGCACAGCTTTATTGGGTTTGACTTTTTTGTGGATTTTCTAGGTCTCTGATATGTATGTCTATGTGGACACAGGTGTTAAATGTTTACCTGGGGTGTGGAGGTATGTTTAAAACATATGCTACTGTGATTTATTTAAAAGGGATACTTCTAATGTTTTACTGAGATAAATAAATGTGAGAAACCTAAAGAAGGAGCTAGGAGACAACTTCAAAAAAAATTCCCAAACTAACTTCTTTTATGTAAAGATTGTTTCTGACTTGCAGTTGATTTAAAGTCTTTTTCAGCTTCTGTGGTCGATGAACACTTCAAAAATCAGGGAACTCTATATGTTCACCCTTTGAAGTGTTGTTTAAATGCTGATTGTGGATTCCATGTTCATATCCCTTTATGAAACTCTTATGTGCTTGATATGTTTAGTATAAAACAAGTTGTGGTGAATTAACTTATATTTTAAGTGTAGAAAGTAAACAAATTAGTCAAAGTGGTAGTGAATAATTTTGTAAATTTTTCTTTTATGCTACTGTGGTGTTCAAGTACTCAATTTGGTGAAAGTAAGGTAAACCTGTAAGTCTTTCTGTGTTCACTTGTTCCTTTACAGCAGCTTCCATAAACTTAAGAAAGAAAATAATTCTACAGCATCACATATAACCAAATATCAGCACAGAGAAATGTGATGCCATCTTAGCCTTACAAATGCATTCTTAATGATCCCTAAATTAGAGGGTAAGTTGCTGTTTTTTATGTGTTGGGCCTTGCCTGAGCTGTGGGGAGTGGATGCCAGTCAGTGTGAGCTGGAGCATTCAGCAGATGATGAGCGTCAGCAGCAGTTCTCTCCGTTTGGCTTGCATTGGGAGCATGTTCCACAGCCCTGCTCTTTCCCCTAGAACTTAGATTAGGGTCAGGATCCTTTCAGTGCATGGGTACAGAGCAAAATTTGGCTCCACAGTTGATTTTCTCTAGGTAGACCATGGCAGGACCCTGACCCTCTGTAACCCTTGCTCTGTGAAGATCAGGGGGTCTCTGATGTCAGAGCTGCAGAAAATAACAGCAACAAGAAATGTTCCTGTGTTTGTAAATGTGCAGATAAGGGCCAGAGAGATTACCAGTGATATGCTAATGTTAGAGCTCAAGTTATAGTTAGGATTAAAGCTTCAAATGTCTCTATGTGCCTCTCGAGTACTCTGAATTTCCTTGCTGAGCCTCCTGAGCACACCATACAGTCATCCCCTCAGGCTCCCGATGAGTGTGTCTCCTGCATGCACAGTCATCCATCCTCCCATGAATGTCAGAGAAAGAAAGGGGCCTAAAGCTTTCTCCACATGAATTATCTTCCCTTTCTCCATCATAAAAATACAGACCTAGAGTAAATGCTAAATTATCTTTTTATATGATCTTTGAATTTTTGATGACAACTTTTGAATCAAATTTTTAAAAATAATATGGCTTTCCTGGTTGTAAAATTAAATGTTACTCATTGCAGAAGATTTGGGAAATGTGAAGAGCTTACACACAAAAATTCAAGTCAGCCATTATCTCATCATCCAAAAATGACACCTGTTAGCATTTGAATTTCTGTTTTATGAATATTACACTACATAATTGAGGTCAGACTTCATTTAATTTGTAGCTTATTTTTCGATTGATAGTAATAGAAAATATGATAAATTTACCCATGTTATTAAAAAGTCTTCAAAAACATGATCTAAATGATTCCATGTTACTCCACTATATGAATATCCCATTACTTATTTAACCACTCCCTCATTGTTGGGTATTTAGGTGATTCCTAAAATTTTTTGCTATTATATTATGATGAATGCTCTATTGGCCATTTCTATGTATTGATTTTGTTTTGCTTTCTTGACTATATACTTACTTACGATAGAGTCCCAGAAGTAGAATTACTGAATCAAATGAAATAATGTTTTTAAAAAAGATTTCTCCTCACTTTAAAGAATTATACATTCCAACCAGAGCAGGAAACAAATGTATTGTGTCTTGTTCATTTTAGTGTCCTTGGCACAAGCAGGGTGTTTGACACTTAATAGTCACCTACATGTTTATCACACATGTGAATGAATAAATAATATATATTCTTAGAAGAACATTTGGAAAATACATAAAATTATAAAGAAAATATAAAAAGCACCTTAAAATCCCACTAATGGTAGATAACCAGTTAAAATTCTGGAAGACTGGTTTAGAATTACTTTTCTATCTGTGTTGCTTAAGCCACATGCAGTAATTCACATCTTTAAAAATAAATTTTGGATCATAATAAAAAGTTTCAATAGATTTTAGAGGACTTTTTTTGGTTTGATTTTGGGAATTTTTTTTTAGATGGCTGCTGTAGCTATTATTGTTGTTCACTATAGCATGGATATTTCCCATGTCATAAATATTTAAAATTGAATATTTAATGGGCACATAATATTATGTAGTTATAGTCACTTACTTAACCATTTGACTACTATTATATGTAAGTTGTTTTAATTTTCATTATTACCAATAACTTTTATCTTGGACATAAATCTTTGAGACTATCTCTTTTTCTTTCATTAGAATAAACTCCTTGAAATAGAATTGTTAGAGCAAACTATGTTGCTACAATTTGCCAAGTTTCCTTCTAGAACCAAAATAAATGAAGAGAAAAAAAAAGTTTAACTGCAGAATACAATACTAATCTAAATGTTTTCTGAGGTTTTTTCATAAATGGGAAAGGGGAAGAGGAGGGGGGCTCTCCTTCATAAAGAAGACTTATATTTTGAAGTCAGTGGTTACCTAGGATTAAAAAAAAAAGGTTCAGAGACTCTAACTCCAACGAGCACCAGGAATTTTTTCCTTTGAACCATTGCAGTTTATCACACTTAAAATTTGAAATTCTTTTCTGCTGTAAAAATCAAAAGATATGTGTGATGTTTCGTGAAATTTGAAGACCATAAGAGGTGACATCTTTGGTTTACAGGGGCTGGTGGTGGCTAATGAGCTATTGTATTGTGTGGCAGAATCTAAAGAGGGAGCAGGTAGACCCTAAGCTCCACATGGGGTAAAGGGACAATAGGGAACCTGACTTGGACCTCAAATATAGCCACAAGGGACTCAGGAAAGCAGTGGCCTGGTGTCATAGCTACTTTACCTGGCAGAGGCAGGTATAATTTCAGTGAGATGAAAGATGAAGGTTGCTCACTACTCAGATTGATTCTAGATATATTGTATTGGAGTAAAGGAAAACTTCCAGAAGGGGATGGTGTCTGAAAAATATGAAATACAGTTGGGACCAAAAATATTGTCCAAACAGAAGGAGCAACTGAAGGCAAAAAGAGAAAATGAGCTCTCTGAGAAAGTAAAAGAACCTGGAACAAAGACATGCACATTAACAAAATCTCTGCTTACATATCCCTGGTGCCCACCTCACAGCTTTCCAAGTCTCTACTAGACTTGCTATCTGTCCTGAACCTCACCTTTCTAGTTTTTTATTGGATCAAAAACTTGAGTTTGTTACCTGTCAGATGGACATTTAAGGTTTAGGACCATCCCTTGAGAAGTTCAATGGCCACCACCTCTCTGGAGCTGCCTTGCCAAACCTGCCATATCCTCTCCCAACTACTGGGAGAATGTCCTGAATGGTCGAGATTGTTAAAAAAAAAAGAAAAGAAAAAACCTAGCAGAAATATATGTTACTTGGTAAAGAGAAGCAATTCTTTCACTATAAAAGCACATAGTAGGAAGAGAAAACTTTCTTACTGTTATGGTTGAATGTAGTCAGTTGTAGAATGAGGCTCATGAGGGTAGGAGAAACACTCTGCTAAATTTAGAAAAGATACTCAGTCTATTGAGGGATGTTGACACCCAGGTAAGGTAATCTTTCTTTCCAACCTTGAGACTTTGCCTCTTCCCCCAAAGAGTTTGTGCTGTATATTAGCCAAATCAGACTAGTTTGGGGTAACTACAACATAAAGTGCTAAGTGATATTTGTTGTTGTTGTTTGTGATACCAGGGGTTGAACCTAGGACCTCACAGATGCTAGGCAAGCAATGAGCACAGTGCTGCATCCAACCCAGGATGTATTTCATATCAATTATACAGACAGTTCTTATAGGAGAGCAA